TGTGGAGTCTCCAGGAACGGTGGAGGTCATTATCATAGGGTTGCTGACTCAGCCGAAAGTGTCAAGACGCCCACAAGCACCCACACCCGGGGATCCGTTCGGACCGTCTCCAACGAACGGGAACAGGACGGGGTACATAGGGTTAGCTGAAGAACCCAGGCGCAGCAACTTGACGCAGTGGAAGCGTGCAGGGCTCATAACCCTGAAGTCCCTGGATCGAAACCAGGAGTTGCTAGATTACTTTTCCCCTTTTGTTGCCCTGCACCCCGCCGACTGCATCAATCTAGCACTTCCATTTGTTGAATTTGCACTGGATAATCGATATATTCGAACACAGTACTGAAGGATTCAGACCGTCTTCATCTATTACAGAGCTACAGGGTTTGACATCAAGTACTTTCAATACTCCTTCTCCCGCGGGGTCCACGCGTACATTGGCAAGTCCAGCAAAACCGTCCTCTTGATCCACTGCGGCAACGCACGATATACCACGGGCGGCATCGGCAGCAAAATTGACGTCTGCGCGCGATACGCTTGGTAATTCGCCCATGCTGCGTTTCGAGGGCGGTTGGACGGATCTGACGCGTCACGACTACCGGCGTCCGAGCCGATTGAGTCCTTGGGATAGGACATGTTATAGAATCTTTGTGCCACGGGCTTCTCGGCTGTGGGCAAGCCAGAGCCGAAAAGAAGAAGGCTGCGTCCATCGTCAGTCATATATGCCTACGATGGTGCTCTTCTGACGTACACCATGGTGAAGAGGGGAGAAACGAGCGCGCCCAGCTGCGCAGAGCGGGCCGAGCCGGTGGGTTCCCCCTGTAGGCTCGGTGCTATGGACAGCGTCCAGATGCCCCACCAGCACAGGATCCTTGTTGCGCAGCACGTGAGAAGAGGATTCAATACCGCAGCTGCGGACGAGAAATAGTACGTACTCGCCAAAATAGGGCGGGTGACGAGACCACGCCCACAAACCGACCTATCTCCGAACCGACGAGTGAGTATGAAATACGCTTTCATGTGGCGTCCTCTTAGCATGCGCAGCTGAGACTTACGTCGATTGGCCTGTCCTTCGGAGGATTCGATGCCTTATGACGATACTGGACGACACACACACATTAATCGCGACATGGAGTGTCCGAACAGTGCAGCTTCAAGGAGAGCAGAGCACACCTTCTGCAAGTCAGCAACAGACTCGATGCTCCATCCGATAGCCCAGAGGATGATGCCCAGGATATCGCTCGCTGTGCCGAAGGCAGGCTGGCCGAGTCTTGTGACTGCAGGCGAATTCAATACCGTCAGGGGCAGGGAGACGACCCAGACCCATAGTATTTGACCTGTGTATAGGTGCCGTCAGGCGAGGCCGGCCAAGGCAGAAGTGCCTGGTCTTTCGGATAGAACGCACCGACCCAGAACCCTGCGTAAGACTGCTTAGGCAATGCTATTGAAACTTTTTCCTAATGTCGTGCTTACCCATAAACTTGAAGAAGTGTGATCTGATCTCGTCGAAACGAGTGTCACTACCAGTCTTCAGGACTCGGAAGAGCAAGAAGCCTGTCCGTATGCTGTATCAGCATGCTGTAATTACGCGATCGCGAGGCTCCGCACCTGCCAAACGGGTGGCCCACGCCATCACAAACACGCTGGTAACTATGTTCCTCGCGTTGAACTCCTGGCCCATCAGAAGCGTGAGAAGTGCTACGGGTGCAGATTGAGCTATTGCGGTCTTTCGCGTGGGCTTCACTTACCGAGAATGAAGAAGTTCGACCCTGGTAAGGCGTTAGTGAGGAGTTTTCACACTGCTGCTTGAGAACAAAGATCCTACCTCCAGTGAAGTCTGTGATCTTGTCGAACTATCGAAGAGTCAGTTCACATTCACGCATCTCGCACTACCATATGGCGTGCTTGATTACCTGGAAGGTCCACGCTATGGCGAATCCTAGCAGTTGGTAGCCAATGGTTACAAGGAGGGTGATTGCAAGATAGTACCGGTCCAGGACGCCGACAGGGTCAGCCATCGCAGGATCTAGTATGTGACCGTAGTGGGAGGTGGAGAGTATTTGTGCTTGATACTACTAACAATAATCAGGAGCGGTTGGAGGCAGCGTCGCACTGGTACGGATCTAGCTCAGAGTCTCAGACGTCTTGAATGCGAAGTGGCAACGGTCGAAAGGGTTGGATTGTGACATGCACGAGGTCTGCAGGCCGCCGGAGGATCAGATCGAGGAGATGCTGCTGAGTGGTTTCACTGTGTTACTTTGACCGGCTTATGCATACTAGACCATATAATAACGAATATGGTCCGGCTGCGGTTGTCATCGGCATCTGATCCGTTGTTTGCACATGTTGTCAATGTGGCTGCTGCAGGCACGTCCCTGACGTCAAGCCGTTCTCCATAAGGCTGGGAATTTGGAAACTGGGAGTCGATATATTCCCGGCTTGTTCTACGCCATGATCACCTTACCTCTCGCAACCCCGACTCCATCCCCCTTCCATCCCCTTCTCACGACCACATACCCTCCTACACCGTAACCAACTGTCTTTTCTCTGAAGGATCCCCGTCTTCACGACGCCTTCAATATCGCCACCATGCCGCCGAAGAAGCAGTATGCGTACCAGGCCGATATGCCATACGCGAGGGAACCGCTCAAAACCTTCTACGTCGTCCAGCGGATGTTTACGACCCTCGTCATGACCATATGGTGGGCCATCTACTACACCGTCATGCCCCGCAGGTACCGCCCGAGACCCTCGTGGTCCGTGAAATGCTGCATTGCGGTCAACTTCACGCGGCGAATATACAAGGTCACAGAGCTTGCAGGCGTCACCTGGGGCACACGAGACCCCGACCAGCCTTGCGACAACAACAAGCTCAAACGGACCAGATTCGAGTGGGTGGACCCGCTCCCGGAGGATTTGCGAACAGGCATTCTCGCGGACCCTGAAGTGCCCTTCAACCGGGTCGGGTGCTTCATATGGCCCAAGGAACGACCTAAGAGTGAGTGTTTACTCAATGCCTTTGCTGCGAGTGGACTGTTGGAGGGAAAGCGGCCCGCATCATCGTGTGGCGATCCCGTCTCGGTCACACGTATCCTCTGCCTGGCCATCCTTTTCGAGACTATCAAGGATGCCTCCATACAGTCCAACTCTTTCGGAGACTCATCCGACTGACGCGAAGGGACTACAGTCATACCTGCTTGTCCAGGCAGCGATGATGCGCATTCTCAACATGAGCTCATGAATGGAGGGGAATTTGAGGCAGCTGCCGGCGAAGTCCCAGTCATCGGCATATTCCTCCATGGTGGAGGATATTGCCATATGTCAGCTCACGAGAAGGCGCCATCTTCGCAGGTTCCAGCACGCCTGATGAGGGTCGGTCATATCTTGCGCCGCTCTCAACCACCCACACGACTTACGTATACCTGCAGGACAAGGTCTTCACCGAGATTCACGCTGTAGAGTACCGATTGCTACAGCACGCACCATTCCCGGCTGCTGTGCAAGATGCGGCAGCCGTATATGCGCATATAGTCCACCGCCATCAGCGCCATCAGTCCGACAAAGCGAGTTCTCGGGCGGATTCGGGGACCCGTTCAGAAGCGGATGAGACTTACAAGAAGGCTGGACAGACGATGGACTCCCTCGCAGCAGACAGTAGAGACTATCGAATCCAAGCGCGACATGAAAAGGAAAACGAAGCTGTGCACTCGCATATCGCAGAAGTAGCAGCAAACACCAACTGCAAGATCATCCTCATCGGAGACAGCGCGGGTGGGAACTTGGTCCTTGCTCTGGCCCGCTGGATCCGGGATGAGGGTCTGCTTCCTCCACCTGACGGATTGTTGTTGCTTTCTCCTTCCTGTGACCCATGTACGTGGTTTGTTTTGCTTACCGTCCCCACGAGTCGCTGACGTGTCTCTACAGCTCACGCATTCCCGGAGACGCCTTCCTCATACATACCCCGTCCTCACGCAAGCACCGACTACCTCGTCGATACCCCGGAGCCTCGCGCACTTTTGCAACGCACATTCCTCGGCCATAATCCCATAGAGACCATGCACAGCCCATACGTCAGCCCTGCTTCACAGCGCGTACTCCGCGCCTTCTACGGCGATGCGTTCGCAGAGAGCGTCGCTGATCTGACCATCGCACAACTTGACGACAATCACCGCGAATTCCTCCGCAACATGTCCTCCGCGCCTGCCACGCCCGTACCCTCGACGCCCATCACTGGCAATGGTGATGGGTTACCACGGCTTGTCATGGGGCCGCCAGAGGCGGCGAACAAGAACGAGGGTCGCAGTCCCACTTCGCTCTCGCGGCCGATCATCGCTTCACCACGAGGACTCAGCCTATTCAGCGAGTTTCCGAAGACGTGCGTTGTGCTCGGGGACGCAGAGCGCTTGGAGCGCGAGGTGATGCGGCTCGTAGGTGCGATGGAGCGTGATGGCGTGGAGGTGCACACGATCTGGGTCAAGGACGCGCCGCACGACGTACTGATCATGGGCTGGTGGGACGAGGGTGTTCGGGACACGGTGTATGCGCAGATCGAGGATTGGGTCAGGCAGGTGTAGATTAATATGTAGACAATACTGGCAATGTTTGAGGCGCGTGGTGTCGCTGAACACTTGTTATGTCTTACTCGATTATACCTTCATGTTATTCTACCTTTGAGCGTCGTGGGTTGGACGGTTCGACTCACGAGCAATATCTCCCCTATAATACCTATCGGTCGTGCTACACCTGGTCTTGTCGCACGCCGGGTTAATGGATCTCGCACCATTGTCGGATACCCTCCAGCTGCCGTAAGTCCTCAGCGTCTCTTCGACATCGTGCCAATTACGCCCAGCGTAAGTCCATGAACAAAAACCGACGGAGATAATACAGGCACGCGGTCCGGCGTCGAGGGCAAGCACCTGCGCTGGTCGCAAAATGAGGAATCCCCCAACTGCAAGAGTTCCCAGGCCAACCAGGAAGCAAGAGAGGCTTTAGAAAACAGCACATGCACTAAGGGGGAATCGAACCCCCGGCGGGTCGAGCTTCGCTCGGATGGCAACGACCCAGGTTACCACTACCCCATTAGTGCTACAATGTCAGAAGGACCATGTTTATATCAGGTCCAAGAACAGTGGAATGCTCGCCAATATTGCCCTTCGCGGACTACACTGTACTGAGTCGTTGCGAGTCGTCGAACTCGGTCACAAGGTCTCATCCATATGGAATGGAGTGTGCCAGACTGCGAGGAGCAGCAGATGGGATTACAAACAATGCACGCCACAAAAGAAGTACAGGACGCGGGCCAAACCGAGGCGGTACAGGAATAAGTACAAATAAAATAGGGTACATCCAACTTTGAGATAGGTCCGTCTATTCACGAAAGAGGAACTGGGGGAGAAGTGTCTTTTGGCTTTGTTGGCGACACCACTTACATCCGGCGGGTGCTTCCAGTACATTCAGCCTCTCTTCGGACGCTTCTTCTTCCGCTCTGCGTCCTCAGGAGAAGGCTCTTCCGGCTCATCGCCCGACCCTTCGCCCGGCTTGGAGTCGTCGCGAGCACGCTTCCGTGGTCTCAGTACGCGAGACTGTCTCCGACTCGGTTGGTTGGAGACTTGTGCCGTGCTACTGCCAGCAACCGGATTGGTTGATGCAGCCGACTGTCCGCCAGCGGTTACAGCATCTTGTGGTGCAGATACCGAAGACCGCCGACGGCTGCGTCCTCGACCAGCGGGAGGCGGCAGTAGGAGCTGGGATGAGGACGCTGATGGGGCCGACGACGGCCCTGCCTCTTGAGAAATTTCGGCAGGCTGAGCCGCTGAAGTCGCGGAAGGGCACGGAGAGGGCGGGGAGAAGACGATGACCGGCAGTCCTTGCCCTGAACCCTCGGCACTCGAAGCCTGTGGCACCTCAGGCAGAGCGCGTGGGAGTGGTGAGGACTGTTGAAGGCTATCGGTGCGCCCCGAGCGAGGCGCCGCGACAGGGTAGGTGAAGGACGCGTTCCGGGGCGCGAGGTAGGGCGTACGGAGAGGGTGGCGGCGGCGAGCTATCGGGGAAGGACCGGAGACAGCGGTAGGATCAGGATCCAGTCGACGACGGTTCGCCGGCCGCTCCGCATCAGCGCAGGGCGTCGCCGGATGTCCTGCGTCGCTGTCCGATTCACGTGCACGCTTCCTGCTAGGTCCGGTGATGGAGGGAGGGGCAAAAGGTGATGATGAGGAGGAAGAGGAAGGCGGAGGTGAAGGCAACCCGAGGGCTCTGGAGGAAGAGGCGGACGCTGAGAACGGTACCAGTGCCATGGAAGACGAGCCGGATCGAGACGAAGTCGATGCATCGCCGGACACGCTGGAGTTGTCATCGCTGAGGTACCCGACGCTCTCTATGTCTGCCTCGGAGTCTGCCGCATCATCAGCACGAGCGGGCTCCCGCACGCGGCCAACGGGCTCAATCCCGCCTACCCAATCGTCGCCTTGGTTCCGCCACTCACTGGTGCGCACGATGCGCTCAAATCGTGGCCGATATTCCGCTCCATCCGGTAGAGGGAAGAGGTGTTCCACGGCCAGCCAGAATGGCTCGGTGCTGTGGCCATAGCGTCGCTGAAGCCAGCCAATGACGGTCCGCACGTCGGGAATGCCGCCGGGCACGATATCGTCGAGTGTAGGGAGCGGCCCCCATGCGTCGCGCCAGTACCCTGCATGGTGGTTGCTGTCAGTAAACAGGTGGAAGGAATAGGGCTGCCTCCGTACGCACTGTTTTCTGGCAAAGTGCTCGGGTGCCTTCCGCGCAATTCGCTTGCAGGATTGATTGAGTCTGGATCCATTCCTTCAATATATACCGGCTCTCGCCGGAGTTGTCCACGACGCCGTCGATGCTGGCCGTCAGAAGGGTTCGGTGCCGGTGGCAATCCGTAGAAAGCGCCTTCGCGCCGGATTGGTGCGCGTGGTCGTACGACTGCCCCAGAACCCGATGGAGAAGGAACGAGATTGACGTTGGATGTCGAGGGCACGGACGGTTCAGGCGAGCGGGACAATCGGCGCAGAGGACTTTGGATGACGCGACGAGGTTGGACAACTTCGAGCCTACGTGATGGAGGAGCAGCTGTGCGGAGATGGTCGGGCAAGAGGCCTGTTCGAATATCATGTAGCTCTGCGGTATAGTTGCAGCCAGCGAGCGTGAGACCTACCAGAGAAGTGGCTAACCGATGACGATCGCCTCGGATTCCTCAGCGTGATGTCGTCTGGTCTGGGTTCTTCATCCTCATGCGACGACCCTGTCTCAGAGGATGATGATCCGTATGTAGCGTGCGTTACGTCCGATTCCTCCGTTCGACCCGAAGTGGTAGACCCTTCGTCGCTGTCGGGCGGGGCTCTGTGGCCAATAGGTCCAACTCAGCAGGAATCCAAATACGGTCCTAAGGTACACACTCACTCGGAAGCAGCCGAGGAGAAGATAGTTGATATGCTAGTCACAATGCTGGACACCGACCGTAAGCCTCGGCTAAGAAAGCCCAAGGCTGTAAAGTCGATAAGTCGTCACGAGCCTGTGGCTAAGGTGAGGCCAGACACATACCTGAGGTAGCGGCTGGACGGTTCATGGCGGATTTGTCTGAGCCCGCGTTGGTATGGGTAGACATAGCCTTGAGATGCGAGTGCGGAGGGGATAGGGACAAGGTAGAGCGGCAGATGGTGGTGGCTGTTCAAGAGCGGAATGGCAAGCCACATACACGCGCTGTGCGGGAAACTGCTTATATGTCCGTCACTGTACGCTTTGTGAGGCACAATAGTATGTCATAGTCGATTTGATCTCTCGGTTCGATCCTTCGGAAGGTCCGTCTGGAAACGTCACGGAGTTGGCGGCGGTGAGTACGCGGTATCTCTAGTCCTAAGCGAGGGCATCAGTATGGATCTGCAGCGACAAAGCAAACGAAAATATACGGACTAGTTCATGCCTCGAGGCGTTCATACGCTTCCGCATTGGCCGGTGGCGCGTGGCGGTCCACGCGAGGTCCAAGAGCTCTCCCTGTGTCGCGATCGCAAGTTGATCTTGCAAAGCACAAAGGTCTGGTAGCATTTGCCTGCAAGAAGACGGCCATTCCGCGTTTTGAGGGTGAGAAGGTATCGCACATGGCAGCACTGAGCAGTGTGCCACTGCTCTGCTATTGTGAGCCTGATCTTTGTTCTTCCGGCACGTGATGTCAGTGCGACTCAGACCACGAACGCCGTCAATGCGCATACAGTATCTCGACGTCCTCGTGCGGTCACAGACGTAGACTCCGTATCAGTGGACATCGAGCTGGACAGTGAGTAACTGTACTAGAGCATCGCCGATATCCTGCGGAGATTCTCAAGGCGTTTGTGAACAGGACCACAGTAGCACCGGAGGCGGAGTTCCCAGATTAAAATCGCAGAGAACTGCCGAGACGACAGATATTGAGATGCGAAGTCAAGATTCAATCCGGGGCTCACAAATTAGACTTGTCACCAGTGAAGATATCGATGCCGTGGCACACAAGTGGAAGATCACCGCTAGTGGCGTCCAGGACGGGGCCATCAACTACGGACGACGCTTTGACGGTTCGGACCGTCTCGCGTTGTGGCCCCCTACGGCGCGATCGGACACTGCGGCTTTGCGCGAGGTCGCGCAGAGCTCCAAGGAACACCACATCTATAGATATCCAACATGAGCATCGTGAGGACCGTAATCTAACGTTTGAAGATTGCAAAGCCGCCCCCCTATGGCGTGGTGCTCGGCGCCTGTTCTCTCTTCCCTCAGCCGAGTCAATTCACTGCTCGACCCAGCTCAGGACTGCCATGCGCTCACAGTGTCTCCAATATATCATGTCGTCTGACAGTGCCACTTCCATCTAGTACAAGGATGTCTGGGTTTGATAGAGGATATCGGTCGCCTGAACAGCGGGTTTAGGTCCCAGTCCAAGGCCGACTTGCCAGTGGCACGGATCCCAGCAGGTGTGCATAGGGAACAACGGCTCCGCCTTTGCCTAGGATTCGGGATGCTGTACTCATGCAAATGACCGATAGCATGCCGGGATCTGCATCTCCACCTGCCATTTACGTCAACAGCATCGCGAGCCACATCAGCCCGCTCAGACGTGCCGTCGTCCTGATCCCTGTATAGGTATGCTTGTCGAGTCCCTCCGGTTGTTGACGGTTTCCAATCCTCGATCAGCCACGATGAGCTCATTGGGTCAGCGACAAATACATCAATAGCGCATTCGAGCCGGTCGCTAAGCATGCGCTGGGTGAAAAGCCCCTCTTCACGCACGACACTGCGTCTGCGCTTCTCATCAGTATGCTGTAAACCTGTCGTGGCATCTGCACCGAACGCTCACCGCCGTATTGACGGGCACCTAGAAGAAGCTCCGGCGGTCGATACCAACGAGTGACGAAGGTAGATCAGTCCGTCTCTGACCGCAAAGTTCTTGTATTGATGAGGGTTTGCCAGGATTGGCTTGAAGAACGGGTCCTCGTCAAAGCGTCCCCGGATGGCTGGCTCTAAGCGAATACCGTCAGGTTGTCGGCAACTCCCCGACGGCCCGCCCAATGTGGATACTCAGGACATAGCCCACCCCTGAGCAGCGGCCCGAGGAGTGCAGTGCTCGTCGTGGGTCTCTCCGAGGCGCATGCTGCCAACCCTGCTTGATCGATAGCACGCCATTCACCGTCTCTGGACTCTCTTTCCCGTATCCTGGACAGTCAGCTCGAGCCTTCCCGCCATGGGTTTCACTCTCGGCGGCCACAACAGTGTGGATTCTCGTCGTCATCGCCCGTGTCGCCAGGCGTCATTAGGACTCTGTCCCTCCGGAAGCCTGTCGCCCACGAGAGAGGAACTCAGGCGACCATACGTCTTATGCTCCTGCTCCGTGTGTGCCGCGAGCATGTCTTCTGCATTGCGTGCTCTGTCAGCCCAGCGCGAATGCCGTCGCTCTCTTGCCATGCCCCGGCCTATTGTGGGTCTGTTCGGTCACTGCACGACTCACGCTACGGGTAATCTGGAGCCGATGAGCGACACAAAGCTAGGACGGGATACCGGAAAATTGAGCGTCAAGCGGCGCACGCGGCGGGCTAATGTCCT